TGTTAGAGATCATATGCAAGCTTGGAATGAGGTAGGCAAAGGCTGTAAAGAGCAGTCAAGCAGCGCTGAGACTGAGTCATACAAAACTGATTTTTCTGGTGTTGCAGGCAGAGAAGGGAAGGTTTCTGTAGTCCCCTGAGAATCCAATCACTTGGGAGCAGCTGTTACTGGGCTTCAGCCAGAGTGAAAAGGGAGCTACTTTATGACATGTTAAGTTGGCTTTTTGTATTGATTCCCAGAGACTGGTCATCTAGGTTGGCTGGAGTTTTTTGTTAAACTGTTTCCCTGTCTGACTTGAAGCTTTTTGAATAACTGTAAATTAATAGAAATGCAGTGATTTAGCATTAGTGACACTGCCTTTGTGTTCACGTGTGTGTGACATACTGTTCTGTACCTGGTTCTCCCTGTCAGCAACCTGCAAAGTATTTATGACTGTGCTTTTTACTTTTCCTGTTGTCTGTTTTAAAAATGTCTCTGCTTCAGGAGACAAGAAGACATCTGAGCATGTTTAACCTGCCATTAGCATCTATATTTTATGTTTGAAACATTTAAAAGCTTCTGTTTTAAATGAAGATAAACACATCTCCAAACAGCTGTGCAATGCATAACACAGAACAATTGGGTAAGCATCAAAATGCTTAATAGATAATACAGTCCTGGATGTGGTAAAATAAACAGGCCTTAATCCCTTTATAACTTCAGTAAATAAGTACAGCTCTAATTCAGATACAGTTTTGCCTTTAGGTTGCTCTGTTCTGTTAACACCTATCTGTCAGCCATAATGCCATGTAAATGAGCCACTCTGAGCCTTTCCCCTTACATCTTGTTTAATCCTCTTCCATTCTTCTAATCATCCTACACACAGAGGCCAATATCTATTTTCATCTAGCCAGATAGGATCTCCTAAGGAATTAAACACGGTTTCCACTTAGCTCCACAGTAGGCAGAGGCTGGGCTGTGATCTAGGGCTTTAGGGACTTCTCATAATGTGCTGGTGCTCGCTAGGTCGAAGAATTGAGTTCTGACTACTGGATTTTTAATCCTCCTGTAGCTGATGTTGGGAGCTCCAGTGATTTAAGATCTTTGATTACTCTGAGCTTGGCCCTTTGATTGAGTGAACTTCTGAAGACGGCGTGTGACTGTGATTTCAAGTTAGTGGTTTTAAGTAACTACTGGAAAAAATAGATAGGAAAAGCCCTGTGATTAAGATGCACCGTCTCTCTTCTTAATTGACTTTCTGAAGCTATCTGATGCTTTACTCTCTATGCACAAAAGAGAAGCTGTCTGGATCAGTATTTGTTCTAATGAAGAACTCAGGTGCCACAATATTTGTCTGTAATTGTTTTCAGTGACATGTCTCTTAAAACAGCAGACATTTCCAAAACACATTTCTAACAGTATATATATTAGAAGTAGCAGCAAATATAGCCTTAGTACACAGGCTGAGTTGATATCATTTCAGTTCACAGTACATTTTCAAATACTATATATTTGCCAGTGGAACTGTACATACATAGAGGTAAGTAGGGGTCACAGAAAGCTGCTTGTGCCGGCATTTCTAAGTATTAGAAGCTCTAGCAGTACCTGTCTGTGAAACTGAATATAATGTGATGCATCTAATTATATACCTGTAAAAATCTTTAAGAGCAGTCATTCTGAAGGAGATGGAACATTCCTGCCAAGACCTGTTATTGTTAATGTTTTCCTTTTTGGAAATAATAATTTTCACGAAATACAATTCTAATGTACTGACCTTGTTTCAGCATGATTCTTGAGGAGAAAGGAGTTCAGTCTCAGGCTATTTATGTCTTAAGTGCATATTACAAGCAATCCTTTAAAGGGTGAGATAAAATACAGTGTCACTGAGAGCATTGCAGGAGCCTGTTCAGTTGTTTCTCTTCCTTGAGTGTCTAGTATCTCTACCTTGGGTAATAGAAGAGAAAGTATGGATAACAAAATTCTGTTAGGGGGAAAAAAAAAAAAAGAGGGAAAATGTGGGAGCTAATTTGACTTGTCCATTTATCTCATGGATGAGCTGTAGAACTATTAAGAAATATAATGAACCATGGAGAGGTCCTGGATTTGTTTTCTTGTACTTCATAAGATTTGAAGTGTGAAGGGAAGTAACTTTCTTATATCAATGTTGTAGAATAGTACTTTTGTTCATATTTAAGCAACCCTTAACTCCTAGCACTCTTTAATAGTTATATTAAAGAGTTAGTTCCAATAGAAATGGAAAAAGCTAGGGAGGACGTTGCCTTCCTAGTGGAGTGTTAGACTATAAGAGAATATAGAGAGCATGCACACTTCTTTAGAGTTAGGTCCATCTTTTTTTTTTTTTTTTTTTCCTCCCATGAAAAGTAGAACCCCACAAATACTGTTACTTGTTCAAGAGCAGCTTATCTGAGTCTATAGTACAAGATCTCGTAATATAAATCTTGCCTTTGTCAGAGACTTTTTAAAAAATACATTTGTTTTATGCACTGTCACTTTGGAACAGCCTTATGTATTCTGTTAGTGATAAAGCTAGGGCTTCTGAAGGAGGGCAATGGCTAGGAATTGGATCCACTCTGATAGCTGACTATGGAATGAGTTCTTATCTTGTTTTACTTGCCACTTAACTTTGAGGTAAAAGTTCACAAAGCATTAAAAGAAAGATGCTTCTTCTGTTTAAAGTGAGTCAGACATACAGGATTAACCACAACTTTGGACCTGTGCAGCAATTATAAGTATCACTGCTATTTGCTGGGTCTATAACTTCATTTTGTTTATAGACTTCTGCTGAGACAGTAGCATCAGAACCTTTAAAGCAAAGACAGACGTCTCACATGTATGCCTTCAACAGCTGGTTGCCTGAAAAAAGTATAAATGACACTGCATTTGTGTACTGGCCTTGCAGATAAAAGGTTTCTTGTCTGTATTTATACAGGACACTGTATTTTCCATATTTCTATCTATAAACTATGTGCACGTTCCCTGACACTTCTGTGTAAGAATGCAGTAGCCATGGGAGGCATGACAGTGCTTGACAACTTCTGCTTTGGTGAAATAAAATCCTGCTTGACTTCCACAGTTAGGACTTATGTTGTATTCTTTTCACACACCTGAAGAACATGATGACGGATTTTCCTCCATGTTTCCCTCCCTTTCTGCTTTTCTCTGTGCAGTCTGTTAGCTTGTGGTCTTGGTTGCCTAACTCACAGTTGTTTTAATCTTCTCATTCCCACAATTCTCATTCACAAGCTAATGTTTCCAGTCCTCCTAGATTTCAGACTTTGCATACGAGAATGGAAGTGTTTGATGCTGATACGCTTTTGTTCTATGCGAACATCCTCTGTAATCTTCTTGAGCAGACTTTAGGGAATACACAACTTTGCTTTTGCACTTGAAATTGGGCTACGTGAATATGCTAATAAGCTGTACATAGGAGTTTTGGAATCCCGTTTGTATAGTGTAGACTATTCTGCTGCAGTTCCGATGGGCACGTACTTGGTCATTTGGTATGCTTTTATGTGCAGACATGGTGTGGCAAATCTGCATAACCAAATATTGAACACTCCCTGTATAATCATTCATTAACTTTATTAAAGGTGGGATGGGGCTGTATTGGGGATTAATTAGAAAAAGTAAAAAGCATAATTAGTAACATTTTCCTCTCTGTTTTCTCTTTCTCTGGCTGCTTTTGCTTGGTGCCCTAATTATTTCCTATCTTTTAAAATTCACTTTAATTTCAATTTAATTTTCCCTGGGCATGCAAACTTGACAAGTGATTTTTTTTTTCTTCATGGAGATTGATTGACAGCAGTTTCGAAACTGTCACAGTGCTAATTAAAACCTTGAACGTGTGTCTTTATGAAGGCCGAAACATTCAGCACTGCTGCAGTATCCTGGATCTTATGTTTTGAGGGAGTTTTTTAGTAGCTAATATAGAGTCATTATAACTTGTCTTTCCTCAGGCTTCATATGCAGGACTCTCTTCCACACTTTATTTATCAAGAGTTTAGAGTTTATGTTGACAGCATGAGAAAGAGAAGCCCTCCCAGGCAATGATATGTGATCTGTCCAGCCAGCGTAATTTTATGCTTTGTCTTTACTGTTTGGTAGAGCTGGGCAGAGTTGACTTGTGGTCCTGTGGAATACCTGAGGTTAGGAGTATGGTGGTCATACTTTAACACCTTAGGACCCATTGCACAAATGATTATCAGGAATCTTCTGTTTTACATTTAAAAATGAGAATATTAGTTGTGGAAGGTGCTGACTGCTGAGTGTTCAGGACTTCAAGACTGCAGACTTTCTGGAGGCAGGAGTATTCCCAGAGCATTAAGGAAGGCACAACTGGAGGGTAATGCAAGTACCTGCCATTTGGCCACAATAGCAGAGACACAGTAGAATCATAGTCCTTGCATTCAGTAGGAATATGGTCATCTTCTTCTCTGAGATTGCATTAGAAAGTTTTCCAGAAAGCAGAGTGAGTTCTGTGGGGGCTGTTAGGTGTTTGCATCCCTCCTTTACAGCAACCAGTGGAAATGACTAACTGCACAAAGCCATGTGAGATATACTGCAGCAGACATGCTACCAGACAGATCACAGCAGTTTTTTTTATGCTTCTTATCACAATAGCTCTCTGATACTTCTCCCTAAGTACAATTTGTTTCATACATTCATGTAACAATATTGTTATATTAAATAAGAATGAACCAAATGTAGTTGGTCTGACTACTTCATACTTTAAGGAAGAATCTGCTTAAATTGCACAGAGACATTATGCTAAGTAATCTCTATTATTAGCTGATACTTGCTACTTTTGATAGTAACTGGTAATAATTCTTAATGAAACCAAAGCAAAATGTTAACAGTATGGCTAGAAGTTCTTGCCTCTCTCAGATGCTCGACTTCTGGTTCCTCAATTTTAGTGTTCTTATTGTACTTATCTCCTGTACTGATCTCCGAATCAGCACATTACCTAGGTCCTGATTTCACCCTTCTATGTGTACAGCAAGATCATCAGAATCATCTGCTGGAAAGATCCTGGCTACTAATTGCCTGAGACCACCCTGAGCATGATGCACTTCAAACTCAGCCATCTCATCCCTGAGCCTGAATATTTAATGTAAGTCTGTTAGTGTGAGTGCTCTTATATGCTTCTGATGATCTTCGTCATGCTTTTGTTGTCATCATTTTCCTCCACTACATTGAGGTCATCCTGCCTGTCCATAGGGAAGAAAAGAAAAACACTGTAGTGTGAAATATTTGCAGAATTCAATATGACTTGATTGGTGAAGGATGGTTTAAAAAAAAAAATCTTGATTGAATTAAAGTGGACTACTATAAAATGAGCATCTCCTCCAGCTGATGATCAGGATGATCTGACTCTATGCACACTCTCCTTGTACATTGGAAATGTACGTGTTCTTTAAATCTCTTCTTCCATCACCCCTTTGTCACAGTAATTTTCACGGGAGACACTGTTGTCCATTGATTAGTGAACCTATGGACTCTTTAGGAATCATCACAAGCAGATCAGGATAAAGAGAGGTGCGATGAAATGCATCGAACAGTGGAGAGCAAAACGTGTATGAAAAATAGTTCAGCAAAATTGTTACAAGGAGCTAATGCAGTTATTCTTCAGTATCTGCTTTACCATATATACTCAGTCTTGAACAAAGTAACTATTGCTTACATTTCTGATTTTAATAATAGCACTGGCACAAGAAATTGTATATTGGTGTCTGGTGGTAGTTAACTGCTTGTTGGGGTAACGATTGTGCCTAATTGCAGAAGAAAGATATGCACAGGCTCATCCTCAATCAAGAGATGCTCATTTGAATCTTCTGTGCTCATAGAAGAGGAGGTTATCAAGTTTTGACTCCTTTTTACCTAAAAACCAAAAACAAACAAACAAAAAAACCACCTGCATTAGTCCCTGAACACTGCATCTTTTCAGATAGAAAAATAATGCAAGTGTTTAAATACAGACATAAGATATTTTTCTCATTTTTAAGTTATGAAAAGTACTTTCAGTAGAAATGCCCTGGTTAATGTGTAGAAAAATACTCTTGCCACAAATGCTTAAAAGGTAATATTATAGTAAAAACATTCATTCAGTATAATCAGCTAAATACAGAAGAGGAAGATGTTAGGACAGTGTAATGATCTTGTTTTGCATAAATAGGAATAATCTTAGTTGATCATCCTTGGGGACACATTATAGGGTTGTTTGTTTTTCTTTTTATATGCTGTGTTAAATAAGACAGAAGCTGGTCTTTTTTTCCTTCTGAGCAGGGTTGTCTTATCAGTGTGCAGACTCTGGAATTTCCTTTTTCTTTTTGATGGGTATCAGAGTGCAAAAGGTCCAGCTGATAAAATTCTCTAATGATCTAAAGGTAAGGTGGGAAGTAAAGGATATCAGATAGTGGAGGATGAATGAACTATGGCTCTCTGTATAGTAGCAGTGGATTATCTTTCATACAGTGAAAGAAGTGAGCAAAGTTGGAAGAAAAATGTGTTTCTATTTGGCTTTGTAAATCTGAATTTAAATAATGTGTGCAATGGAGAAAATTAATTGGAGCCACTCTACTTCTCATTTTTCCTCAATTTTTTCTTTTAGTGATCTCAGAACAAAAAATTAGGAATTTTATTTATTATTGGTATGGTTAAGGATCAGTCAAGTTTTAATCCCTGTTTTGTAAGTTCTGTACAAACACAGAGTTGACAGTCAAAATAGACAAGTTGCAAAGAAAGTAGAGCATAATTACAGAGAGGACCCTCTTGTCAATTTTGATGTTTTGAAAGAGATTAACCATTCATAAGCGGAAGCAAAAGGAATTTGGTTATAGAGCAATAGAAGTGCAGTAAGAACTCTAAGCATACATTTGTTGTAGTGTTGCCTTTGGTCATTGTAGGAGTGTCAGAGATTCTGCCTGTAGCCCACTGCTTGGGAATCCTTTGTCTAAGCAGACCTGCATGATGTGAAGCCCTGCATTATGTGCTGCTGGAAGGAGAGGAGATCCTTGATGTCCCAAAGGCTATCAGATGCTTCCCGTCGCTTGAACTGTTTTTCTAGTTCTGCTACTAAATTAATATGCTGGACAGGTTGTGGAAAAACTCATCCTTGGAGAATTTCAAAAAGGCCCTAAGCAATCTGATCTGGTTTTGATGTTAAATGTGCCTTGAGCTGTATGTTTGAATGGATAGCCTCCCATGGCTACTTCATACCTAAATTACTCTAAGATGACCTATATTATTCTGTCATTGGATGAGTAAAATCTCTTTGAACAAGAACTTTAATTCTTCTGTATTTAAGTATTTAAGGAGGCATAGGAAAGTTGAGGCCTGATTGTCTCTAAGTGAAAGCACAGACCTTCAGTGCTGTATTTGAAGCAATTGTGAATACTCCAAAACACACTGATATAAATGTACCTAATATCAGAGATTATTTTGATTTTGTTTTCTTTGTGGATTTACCTTTACTTGTTGCATAGTTGGTGCACAGATCTTCATTACAGATGTTTTATTTAAGTAGAATTTTGGTGTATTAAGTGAGTTTCCAACAGACCTTAAGTTTCATAATCTTTTTCATAGGACATTTAAACCAACTGCTCTGTATGCCTCTTTTGGAGTTTGAAGAAAGAGTTCTAAACTTATGTCTTCCAGTGTCAATCTAAAAAGTAGTCTTTGGAAGAAAAACAACTGATCATTTGGCAGTGCGTATGTATAATTAAAAAAAGAAAACCAAAAACACCATGAAACAACCCACAACTGTTTTAATACTCTCCTGAAACAAATCACAAGAACTTTTGTGCTTTTTTGTTGAAATAGCTTCAGGTTTTCACAAAACAGCAAAGTTAGATCTTTTATTAAGAAGTCTTATCAATATTAACTTCCTTGTTCCTTTGAAACCTGGCTTCTTGGTGCACTTGCAAAATATTAAAGAATGTATGCATGCAGACTACTAGATCTTTTCCCACCATGTTGTTGACTGTAAGGAAATGTGGACTGCATACGGCATTACATTTCTAGTATCCTCACTCAAGCAAAAGGGAACAAAATCTGTTAATCATTGGTTACATAAATAGAATGATATATGTGTATTTAGGTGGTATATAATATGTGTTACATATGCATTCCTGTGTATATCCTATCTTTTTCCTAGTTTACTGTTTTCAGGCTGACTGAAACAGTAGTTTCCTTGAGAAAAGTACTTGTTTTTCTTCTTTTCATCTAATATCTAAACAGTGATCAGATCCAGGTTCCACTGAATTCAATGAAGCAATTTGGCCAACTTCATTTATCCTTTGTTATAGGTTCTGATGATATACTGACAATAATGTTTTAAATGCTCACTTCCTATTCAGTGATGTTAATTGTTTATGGAACAGGTGTACTCTTATTGAGTGGCTGCTCCCAGGTGGAGCAATGCAAAATGAAAGAGTAATGCTGAAGTTTAGTGCATGCTTGGTCACTTCAAGGTGGCACTGCTTTACTTTGTCTGTTATACTACCAGTTAAATTGCTTCTGGCTCTGACATATTTAAATGTAGCAGCAGCCATGTGTTCCAGTTCTTATTACATTGTACCACTACTATTCCCTGTTCTCTGTTCTTTGAACAGGTAGCCTGTCATCTTGCATGCTAATTTAAAAATGATAGCAAAATCTCAAAGCAAGTGAGGGTAAAGACTTTCACAGTCACTGTTCAACACTGATCAACACTGTTTTTTAAAACCTTTATAGATGTGGACGGATCTGCAGAGATTTTGTTGCACAGGTGACAAGAGCACTGGCACAGGCTGTCCAGAGGGGCTCTAGATTCTATTTCTTGGAGGTCTTTAGAGATGCCTAGGTATAGGCCTGTGTGCCCTGCTTGAGTGGTGGTTGGGCCAGATGAGCTGAGAGGGTCCTGCCAACCTCAGTTGTTCTGGGATTCTGTGACTGAAAAGACATGGTGAGGAGGGGTTGTAAGGCTCAGAACAGTGGATAGCTGATCATAGTGTACTTGGAGTTGAATGACAAGAGAATCACAGAATGGCCTGGGTTAAAAAGGACCATGAAAATGATCATCTAGTTTCAATTCCTATGCTATGGGCAAGGTCACCAACCACCAGACCAGGCTGCCCAGAGCCACATCCAGCCTGGCCTTGAATGCCTTCAGGGATGGGGCATCCACAGCCTCCTTGGGCATCCTGTTCCAGTGCTTCACCACTCTGAGAGAACAAAGCAAGCCCCTGTATGTGTTTTCTTCTGAAGAGGAGGAAAAAATGCTTCTAAGGCATTGGTAATGGAAGAAGAATAAATTTACCTTTTCTTATTTGACTCCATGATCTTTCAGAGTTACTCAAAGAGGCCTGTGATTAATCTGGAGTTCTTGTTTTCCAGCTGAACTTTGTCTCTTTTGCTCCTCAGCCATGTCATACTATAGTTTTTTGTTTTTTTTTTAATCTGGTTCTATAGTTGTAAAGTAAAATGATTCCAAAGCATGAAACAGATACATTTGTTCTATCTGCCAGCCCATTTGCAGATCCCCTTATTTGCTGGTACTTATTTGTGCCAAGCAGGTTGACAGAACTAGTTAAAATGTTATGTCCCTAAGAAACATATTATATACAAGTATGTGACTGTCCTCTGTAAGGAGTTTTGTAAAGATGTACTGTAAGATAACTTGTTTGATTTAATTATTTTATTGAATAATGAATTTAATGATCAAACAGATGTGAAAGTATCTACAAAGGAAAAAATGACAACTGAAACAAATGCTGTCTCTTCCTTACTTGGTGTCAGCACTGATTGGTCTAAGAGCTGAAACTTTGTCTAACCAAGGATACAACAGATCTGTAATTATTCTTCTTCAGGATCTCTCCCTTTCCATTTTACCTTTTTACACAAAATCATGCAGTAGATTTGCTAAGTGGCAGGATGTTTCTTCTGTGGGCTAAACCTCAGTGAGACAGGACAGTAGTGGAAATAGAAGGAATCAGAATTGTAGAATATCCCTGGTTGGAAGGGACCCACAAGGATCAGTGGGTCCAACTCCTGGCTCAACACAGGACCACCCAAAAAGCAAACCATATGTCTGAGACAGGCACTTCTTCAACTCTGGCAACTTCAATGCTGTGACTACTTCCCTGAAAAGCCTATTCCAATGCACAGCCATCTTCTCCATGAAGAGACCTTTCTTGATTCTGGAACGACACATTTCTTTGAAGATGGCATGTTTGCAGACTTCTCTTTCCTGAGGAAGACTGTTAAGCAAAACAGACCTGGCTGGTCTGAAAGGGTCAAACAGGGAACATGCGGCCCCTCCTGAAAGGGAAGGACATGCTTGCCAGTTCCTATGTGAAACTGGCAAGCATAAGTTACAGCTTCTTCGTTCTGTGACCAAGAGCAGAACATGTTCTGTGAATAGAACGCCTTTTGATCATAATCCACAAAAGAGTTAATTAAGTAATGATGTATTGCTGTCAGCTGCATGAATGTTATCTGATTTAAGTATTGTATACTTGCATAGCAAAAAGATATAAAATGCTTGTAACACCAATAAACTTTGCTTATGTGCCACCAGAGCCTAAGCCCTTCTGTCCCAGGTGTCTTGAGCTGGTCTCCGTCATTTGGTGCTGAAACCAGTGGCAAACGAGTAGAACCTCTTAGCAGAACTGGGTTTCGGAAATGCTTTTTAAAATAGATAATTTTATTTCATGTAGATATTTGGCACTGAATTATTATACATAATTAATCAGTGTCTTTAAAATTGCTCTTAATAAAGAGAAACCTCTGTATGGAAGGATGTTTTAAAGGGAGACATCACTGTGCTCTTTTTGTGAACTAGAAGTAAATTCTGTATTTGCTTTCTTACCATGTTTGCACTCTGGCTCTGTAGGAGGTCATATATTTCAAGATTTTGGGGTTTTAGAAATGGGTATGATAAAATGCATGTCACTTGTGGAGTATATTGTAGGTAGTTTACTTTGTAAAAAAAAAAAAAAAAAAAAAAAAAAAAAAAAAAGCCAATAATTCACCTTTTTTCTTCTCCCTCCAAAATAATAGGTGACACAGGTTATTTATAAAAACACATCTTAGGCAAGTAATTCAGCCCTCAAATCTTTATATTCCTTTAAGTGTCATTTTTTCCTTAAGGCTGTTATCAAAATAATCTAAATCACTTTCTTTATATTAATCAAAGAGTTACAGCTCTTAAATTTGTAGTTGTCACTCATGTAGTTTGTGCCTAAAGCATTTTGAAATTGTTTTGCGTGATCTTTTCAATCACTGTATATATATATATTTTTTTTCCCTCAATATATTGTCAACATGCACAAAGAATGGGATCACAACTATTATGAATTTCATAAGGGGTGATCTAATCTCCAAGGGTTTGAACAAAAATAGTTATTGTTTCAGGAATTGTAGCATTCAGTGCAGTCAGCTGCTCAGTCATGGAACATCTTTCCTCAAAGCCTGAAAAATAGCAGAATTAGGCTTCCTACTCTGTTCAGCTAAGCCTTATGAAACCATCATGTTACAGATTAGTTTCCTTTTCGTAAGGGAGATCTGTAGAAAGATACTTGCTACTTTGTGTGTTTTATGCTATGGCAAAATTCCAGGATCTTACTATTGTGTTTTTTGTTAGATTACATTATTCACATTATTATCACTAGGAATTGTTTATACTGTACGAACTTGGAAAAACAGTAATGTATTTGAGAACACAAACTTTGTGAAATAAATATTTTGTTTAAATAACAGGGACTGAAGAGAGAGGAATAGTGCAATATTGCATCTGATTATTAGTTAGTCATGTGTAAAATAAATGTGAAAATATCTCCAATACAAGTGTGTATAAACAGTTCAGTAACTTTAAGTAGCCTCATCAATTAACTAGGCATCATTGAGGCCTAGCATACTTACCTTTAACTGTGTACTTTCTTAATCAGCTCAGATTCAACAAACAGGACTAACCTGGAAACTTGAGGGATAAATAAGAACAAAATATAGCACAGCTTCTTCAATATAGGCTTTCTTGGATGACCCAGAGCTTTGTAATTTTTTTTTTTTAAACTGTGAGTGAATTTGTGAATTAAACTGTAATGCACAAAAACAAGGTATCACTTCAAGTCCCTTTTAAAAGATCTGCTATACAGTCTCACACTGTACTGAATGTAGTTACAAAAGTTAACAGGGTCATTATCGGTAACAGAAATAGCGATTAGAAATATGAAACATGTTATGTGGCATGTGGTGGTAGGGCAAAATAGACTATTCATTGAAGTTGGGTACCACTTCTCACTCACATCCAGGATATTCATCTGTGATATGTAGTCTACTTTAGTTGCACTGAGATCATTTTAAAACTAGGTAACATAATGGGCAGTAGAAAAAGGCCAAGAAGTATGTTTGAATTTCGACAAGTATACTGAAAAGAAGAAAGAAATGTGTTCTTTTAATCCATTTTATTCAAAGAACAACCATAACTCTGGATAGTCTTCTCCACCTTTTTGACAGCCCTGACAGAAGAATATGTTTTGGTTTGATGTTTTTGTTACTGTTGTTTTTTTAAATCAGTAGAGCAGCAACTGGAGATTTCACTCATGACTGCAGAAGAACAAGAGAAGAAAGGCAAATTTCTTCAAGTTTTTTTTTTTTTTTTTTTTTTTTTTTTTTGTAAGTCAAGCTATAGGCAATTCTACACATGCTTTGAAATTTTTATATAGTCTTAGATTTTCCAGCTGTACTGTTGATAATATAATCTATGATTAGAACAGTGAAATATATTTCTTAAATAAATTTGACTGTGGTTTTAATTAAAAATAGGGTATATTCTACTAGTTTACCTGATATGTTTATAAATTTTTGGTTCAGTAATGAAGACATAGAGTAGTTACACTTCTAGACTGTCCCTGTCACTGAGATGCATCATAGCTTCATATAAATAATCAAAATATTTTATTATTTTTTAAAATATTTTAAAATATATTTTCTTTTTTTTTTTTTTTTTTTAGTTAATTTGAATGTCTTCAGTAGGCAAGAAAGAGAGAAAATTTTCTAGTGTATACATACAGTAGGGAAGAGAACAGAATTTAGCAGTGTTGAATTAACTGCATTCAGTAGGGGGCTTGCACTATATACTATTATTTATTATCCTTGCCCCACACACAGCCTCTGAGTGTTCTAACATTTTCAAGAAAGATATCTGAAGCCACACAGAGAACAGAAAGTTCAATAAACTAGCTTAGTTCCTCAAGCAGTAAAAAAATCAATTTTGTAGTTTCTTGTTTTATAAGCAATACTGTAATTGTGGGCAAAGTATAAGGGAAATTAACCTCCGAGGAACTGAAAATATGCAATTGCATATTTTTTTCCCCTAAAAATCATTTTTGAATTCTATACAATGAACATAAATGAAACAAAAAAATAAATCACTTAGTAGTTATCTATCCATTAAATAAAAGTTAATTTTCTCCTATGTTTTTATATACTTATGTTTTTATATACTATTACATAATATTGTGGGTAATAAGATGTATTCATTTCTAGCATTTGCATGATTTGAAAGATGGGCCTTATCATGAGTAGAATAGATTTGCTAAGGGGCAGTGACCACTTTGTTCTGTGTTATGTTTTTAGTAACCTTGGCAAGACTCCATAAAAGCAGCAACAACAGAGAGTCTGGATCTTAGATCTGTTGTACTCAGTAAGACTATCTAGGGGCTAGGATTCAGCAAAAAACTGACGGCTGTGGGATTTGCAAACTATGCTTTTTATTTCAAATCCACGCCCTCCAGAAGAAACATGTGGAAACATTAAACATACTTCACTCAGTAGGAGCATCTTGCTTATTTTCAAATGTGAGGTCATCAATAATAAGTGATTAGGGTGTGTTCGAAGGATTCTTAATATGCTTATGACACGTCAAAATTCACATCACTAATAGACTGTGCAGGAGACACAGGTTCTAGACCCCAGGCTGTATACATACAAAGCTTGCTCAGCAGGTTTAAGAAGGAGGTGCTATCTGTCTTCCTAAGGTTATTTTGCAGAGGTAGCATTAAGCACCTGTCCTACCCTGAAATGGGCTAGAATAACTTCCTACCTCTATTCCACAGATGTACTCTACCCTACTGGGTGTACAGCTAGGTGCTGTGTGTACAATTATTACCTTCTAACC